AAGACGAGTGAAATATCAAATCTGGAATTTCTTTTTGAACCTTTGCAGAGGAAAGGTTTATATTTTATATTGCTAAAAGAGGTCAACTTCAAAAGTCCAAACAAGAATTTCTGAAAGCAAATCTCTAAAATACCTCGGCAAGTAAATCACAACTCCTTTAGTATTTCTTAAAATTCCCTTGGAGCTTTGAGAGGAAAAGGGGGGTTTAAATATAGTTTTACCATCAGGTTTATCCATGTTAGACCTAGAAAAAAGAATTACACAACTCAGTCCAACGGTCAGGTCAGAGCTCATGACAAGGTAAGACAGGAATTTACTAACCCAACCTTCGAGGAAACAGTTTTCCAACCAGATAAACCATTCCAGTGATGAAGTTAGCTGAAAAAAGGTAGTCACAGAGGAAACATGCACCTGAGCTGTCTCAAAGGTGGTTTTCCTTTCCATCATCACAGAGCTGTCTAAAAACAATTAAGAATCAAAGACTTCTATTCCAGATGCACTTTGTGTGGTCATGATTTCAAATATAAAGTAATTACTGCTTACAAATCAATCACTTTTCAATTTAAGTTACAGCTAAAAACTTGGTGCTGTACCAAACCATGTTTTTCATTCCACTTTTCCATCTGAGCTACCTTACATAGCACCCAACTAGAGAAAGAACACCAGAAAGCTGGCAGATTCACAAAAACCTCTCAAGTAATGATGTAGTCTTTACCACCTTCAAGCATGGAAGGTGCTTCTGTAGAAGCTGCCTCTACAGAAGTGGGAATGCTCCTGGGTAGCTTGTGTAGAGAACCAGAAGTATTTTCCAGGCTGCTGTTCCTCTTCTCTGACCACCTTTACATGGGAGCTCTGCTGCAATATTTATTCCACTCATGCTGCTCTTTGTCACATCGCACCGCTTAGCACTGCACAGCTGCAAAACCCACCTGCTTCTCCCATGCAGCTATTGTATTTGCCATCCCCCCCCACCTCATCACTCCTTCTGAAAGGGTTTGTTCCATCTCCTCTAAAGGCTATCCCCTCTGCCTTTTTGCAAGGCAGCAAATGGGAATCCCAGGTGGCTCCTGCTAATTACCCATGTGCCTCCAGAGTCTAATTCTTCCTATTGTTACTACACCAATCTTTAGCCACAAAGTCACTTCATATGGTAATCAGAGACCAGCTGATCCCAAGCTAATACTTCATGGACTCAGGAGAACTGATCTGCTGGGGGTATTAATGATAGCAGAGAAGATGAGCTTTGGAAAATAGTTCCCAAAAGATACTGTACCACTTACAGTGGTATTCCAACCTCATCATAAAAACACTGTGCTTGTGAACTTGGGGTTTGGTCACTACACTCACCTGTTGAGGGCAGCCTCTTCACAGACAAAATCACTTTCCTTCTATGCTGATTTAATCTAATTTAATAAGAAGTCTTATCTAATTTTCCACATAAAAGTTTTGGTGTTTATGGGAGCTTGAAAGCTTCAACCCAAAATCAAGATGAGCATCGCTATGAATAGAAGTGTACTATGAACTTAATAGCCTAGGCCACGATTCAGAACTGCTGCTGAGAATAGCATACAGTAACTTACACAGTTTCTACTTTCCACTCCCCCTGTGCATTCCCCCACATTACACCTTCCCTTCAGCCTTATCTAGTTCAACTGAAGAAATGAGAAGGGCAGCATGCTGTAACATCTGGGGCATCAAGGCCTGAGAATGTCTTGAGCTGATATTGCTTCCAAAGGGTGCACGTTTATGGTCTGAGCAGATTACAGAGTCTTCTTGAATGTCTTGAAACACAGAAACTCCATTGACATTTCAAGCCTGCTGGGACATCAGGGTACAAAATGCCCCACAAAACCAACACTATGTGAGGATTTTTCATCCTGCCTTCTTGATGTAGGTAGCTCAACATTTCCACGTGGTTCAAAGTGACTTGGGTGACACTGTTAAGATATTTATGTGCAACGGTGGGAATAGCCCTTTATATCCCCAAAGGCAGGAAGCAGCACAGTTTGCACAGCCTGTAGGAGAGCCTGACAAGGGTTTTCATTTGAAGAACATTTTGCTCAATGGCAAAATAGTGATTAAAGCAAATCTTGAATCTTCAACCTATTTTATCTTCTTACCAGTTGGAAAAAATAAGTCTGAGATGGAAACACACATTGTTTCAAAAGAGAACCAAGCAAAATCTATGTGGTTTTTGTTAAGCTGGGTTTTTTTGTTGAGTTTTTGGGTTTTTTCTGAGGATGTGAACAAGAAGTTCCTTCTAAAATGCGTTTCAAATTATCACTCAAGTGGAAACATCAAAAGCCCAGAGTTTTGCACAGTATTTCCTCTAATGAACTACCAGTTCAATTCTCCATTATAACTTATTCATTTCATGACTGAATACTCTTCAGATGTAATTTATGGTGCCAATGAAAGACAAAGAATCCTGCAGCTGTATACAAGTTCAAACAGCTCAGAAAGCAGCAGACACATCCAGCTGTTTGAGAAGCATCAAGATATTGCTACAAATCTGGAATTAAAAGATGCCTTTAGCTACAAAGAAGGTTCTGCCATGGAGTAAAACATTCACCCAAATGAGTGTCATGCAAATGATACAGATGTTAACAGGAACCTACAACAAAACATATTTCACCACATGTTCCAGATATGAACAACATCAAGTTTAACAGTCTTAAAATCACATGCAAGCCCTTCACATACAGGTTAAATATACCCTTTCCAGGCCATGCCTGTCCAGGTTTCAGAGTGTTGTCCCATTTACTTCAGTTATAACACTATTACACTTGTCATACACAAATGCTGAAACAGGCATCAGCACAAAAACCATTTCAGGTCATTGCAGAGCAGTTCAATGTGCCACCTCCCAGCTGACAGGAGTCTATCTCAAACACCGTGGCCTTCCTCTTACAACAGCTTTGCAGAGAGCATTTTATACATACACGGCAGCTGGTTATGTTTTAACAGACTCTTCAGTAAACAGAACTGATCAACAGATGTGCAATGCTTATTACAGGTGGTTATCAACATCATCTTCATTTTCAGAACCCATAAAACTGGACATTATGCCTATTCTCTGAGCCATTTACCTACCTCAGAAGATAAACTGGATTCACTAATATCTGCTATGGGACTGATAAAAACTTGATGTCAAAAGAATTGAGTATTAGAAAAAGAGAGAAATGGGCATGTCCAGATAATTGCAGCATTTCAGTCTGCATATAGGCTCTTCACTGATCTGAAACTGCAAACAGACAAGTCAATGTGAGGAAAGCGAAGGGAAAAAGACTCTGAAGCAGATATATATTTAGCAGCAGGTTAGATAGAGAGAAAAGGCTCAAGGACAATGGCAAGTCTTTTCTTCCTTCAGCTAAACCCCCAATGTATTTTTGTGAAAGAAAGCTACTCTTTCGCTTTTAAGTGTAGCCCAAACTGCATTATGTCTCCTGGGTGCTTTGATTTTTTTTCTTTCCCTTCTAATTCTCAGCACACAGACAGCTTGAGGGCTCAGGAGGAGAGATTCTTAAAAGCATGCCTGCAGAAGTAAAGAGATCAGTCACTTCCCTTGTCCCCTGTGTTTCATGAGCGCTCCCCCCGCCCGTGCGGCGTTGTATGAGATTACACGCAACCAGACGTGGCCTTTTGAAACACACTGGAAAATGTAAAATCCTTGAAGAGCAGACAGAGCTTTCCTTCCAGTTGCAAAGGGAAACACAGAAATGGGCCTGAGCTCTTCACAAAGGTCACACTCACCTTCAAATTCTGTCAAACTTCTTGTTTCCCCCTGCACAGTTCTAGTATCTTAAGGAATTTGTAGCAGTCTTTACAGAATCTACTGGAGTTTCATAAAATACAGCGTGAACATGATGCAAGCAATCTTTGCCTGGTTATCTTTTTCCTTGGCTGCTTGTTTTCAAAATCCAGATGTCTTTCCAACTGTCTTCCCTGATCCACTATGGCAAATGCATAGGTCCCTTTAAAATCACCATTCTAGATGCATTTTCAACTTACTACAACTTACTCTGTGCTTCTCAGTGCGTTGTTCCAAATAAACATACACATATTTTGGCTTAAATGTGACTTATTGTATTAGAAACATGACATTAGGAAGTTGTAGCAATTATGTTCAGTGTATTTGGACAAAAGCAAATGTGCTGAAAGCACGATGTGTTCTCATAACAGTTAGCGGCTTTAAAATTAGGAAAAAGCTTTTTAAACAGTTTCCTGCTTCCAATGCCTATAGCTACATTTCCAACCTTGTACCTTTCCCATTGTAATGTTACCATGCATTTAACAGTATAGGAAAATGCCCAATAATCTTAAGAGTTTATCAGGAAGCTACTTTTAACCCCCTAATCCCTAAAGACAGAAGAAAAAGATGGAAAACACTGTTCATTTTCATCACCCTTACACAAATACTCTCCAGCCCTAAGTAGATATATGTCAGCATTTCAGAGAGGTCTTTGCTCCAGACTACTGAACTCTAAACATTAAATGTTTAATACACATTTCAAAAATGCTATGACACACACTGGAGAACAAATTACATCTTTTCAGAGTCAATATGATGTTGAAGAGACTCCATTTAGAATTAGAACATGAAGCAGAAAGACATCACTGTGCTTATTGTCTGCTAAAACCAGATTTCCCAATAGACTGTTATAGGTAAGGCTACATCTCAACTACAGGATTTCCCTTCATGCACTTGCACGGGATCTCTGAGCTGAGATAACATCAGTGATTCCTGCAAAAGTCTTTGAAGGCATATTGTAACAAAAAACCCAATTCTGCTTTATAGTTGGTTCCACAGAGGATTCATCATCAGTACCTGAAGTGACAGAGCCGACATCCTTCTCCAGTGAGAAAAAGGTAGTGTGAAATAACCTCATTTTGTTATCCTTATATTAAGAAAATCCACTACAACAGCCTCAGGGTAAAAACAGAATTTTGACCATACAAGTGGCTGAGGATCAGCTTGAGAAAGGATTTCTAGAACTTACCTATGGTGCAGTTTGTGGTTATTTTTCTCCGCTTGGGGTTGTGTCGTAGCAATTCTAACTCTCGTTTGGTTGGCTCCCATGTTGAATACTTCTCTCCAATGCCTAAGCAGACGAAAAGAAAGTTTCAGGAAGTTGTTTAGTAAAATGATTAAAAACTCTGTTCCAGTAAAAGCTTTCAACATGCTGTCCATTAGGTTAGATTCAATCTATGTACGACTACAAGAGACCGATTTCTTTTTAGCCCTTCAGAAAGACAGCAATCTTCCAACAAATAAGAACTACAAGAAGAGAAGCTGTTCTTTACCTATAAAGAATACCTAGCCCAAGTTTTCCATTACTGGATTATAATCCTCCTTTCAGTTAAAAGGAAATTCCAGCACAAGAATCAATCCACTATTACTCAAAAATGCATTTCTTTGTGCGCAGAGGAGGTCAAGTGACAGAACCACCATGTGATTTTAGGAGAAGATAGCAAGAAGGATAACCAAGAAATCTCCTCTCCAGAACTTTGACAGGTTATTAAAATAGATCAAAACTGACCCAACTTAATGGACAGCTACAGGCTTAATCTTTACAGATGAACAGCAGAATTTACTAATTTGATATACTAAACAGTTAGTATCTGTCCTAGGATTTACCATTACAAAGTATGACCTTTCCTTATAACCACTGATTGGACATTAGCAAGTTCTAATACTTGATACTCACTCTACTGACAGATCTAAGATCGCCTAAAAATGCAATCAGCAGTAGGTTTAAATACAACCCTCCCCCCACCAACCAACCAGAACTCTCCAAATACTTTACTATTTCTCATGAGCTGCAGCTAAAATCTGTCATTATTCCCTTTAAACATCAGCACTGGATTTTCAATACATTAATTTTGTTCAAAGGAAAGTGCAGTAAAAATGAGTCAGATTAGTAGTATGGAGAATAGATCTGGAGTAAGCAGAGAGTTGTGTTCAGTGTAAATCTAGTACAATAACACTACAACAGTGAAGACTCATGTGCTGACCAGCTAAGTACTACTGCAGCATTCTACGTAGCACAGAGGAATTACTATGCAAGGTCAACAAAAGCATCATGGCATTAAAGCTATAGAATAACAAGATGACAAGCAATCTATTCTAAAACTGAGGATTAAAGTCAATTAGGAGTTATTTTTCACAGAATGCATGGAGCAGAAACAGTGCTGTGCTACAGAAAATATAAATCATACATATGAAAAGAGGGAGAGTAGCAAACATAGCTAGAGGCTTACACATTCTGCATAATGTGCATGAAATTTTAATAGCTCTTTGATCTTCATTTTCAGAAACAGCTCTGCTTGTCAGAAGCTACCCACCCAAAAACGTTCAATTCATAGTTATTACTGACCCCTCGAGCTTCTAGTAAGAAAAGGTCTCATTTTCACATTCTGGAGGACTAGAAGAGTCTTATTTACATGGATGCACCCATCTCTCACTTGATTTGATTCAACAAGAGATTATGCGAGAAGCATAAGAAAGAATACCCGAATCATATAGTCCCTTTTCTTTATCCAAGGTTCAGCATCAAGCTACACACCCAGGAAAACAGAAAAGGAAACTAATTACTGTGTAACAGATTGATGAGATAAAACAGCTGCAATGCTTTGAATACACTATACAGTAGGCATAGGCAAACGAATGAAGCAACTTCAGAGACGCACATATGGACAGTTCACATATGACAGAACATTGGCTGGCAACAAGTTTCGGATTAGATGTCTGCAGCAACCCTTTTCGTGTTTGTAATGCTCCCTTAGGAATTTAATATGAATTGGTTGGTAAAAAAAGCTCAACATCATTTTCAACACAGTGTTAGGACCAGCTATTGCACTGGCCAGCTGTAAAATCCCAACTCTGGCATTTGGATTCACTGGAGTTTAAGTGTGGCCAAACACAGTGTTGTCTGACAGTGGGATGTACTTGTACTAAAAAACCCCTTGGATATGGTTAAATCCTGATTTAAATCAAATGTAACAAAATTCACACCCAGAAACACATGTGCGCTCGACTTTAGGCATGCAATAGTTCCACATATGTCAGCGGGACTATTCATATATATTTATATACATCTATATATAATTATATAGCTTAAAGAGGATGGGGACCAAAGCATTTCACAAGAGCAACTCTTCAAGTCAAGTTAAACACGACAGACTGGGTTATTTTGCAGGATTCTGGGTAAATCAAATACTGTTCAATTGAAATGAAATAAAACCAAACAGAAAACCGGGTACAGTTAATGCCACAACACACACACAGAGCACAACAGACAGAAAACTTTCTTACAGAAGCCTTTCATTAGAAAGAGCACAAGTTAAGTCAGAGACAGATATTAAAGTGTTCTGTTCCAGCTGTGTAATTTAACATGAATATTGAGGTTTTATTACTCCTGAAGATGTGTGAGAAAAGACAGAACCATTTATTAGGAGTGGTTCAGTGTTTAAAACAAAACCAAAACACAACTAAACACCACAAAGAAGGAAAAAGGTTTAATAAAAGGTTTAACACCAGCCACAAACATGCCAGAAACTCCACCATAATCTACCTTAAACAAAACATGCACAGGTTACCATTTACAACTAAAGGAAAGTAGCGTTCTAGGAGCGAAAACTCATCATTTTGAAAATGATGCTATAAAAATAGCCAGAGATTCAAGTCAGCATGTGAAATCTCCATCCAAGAATTCATTTTATTAGGTCAAATGCACAAATTGTCATTTCTCAGGGACATATGGATGAGGGAAGGAAAAGGCGATGAAGGCTCTAGTTTATACAGGTCACAGTTTTGCATGTAATCATTAATATTGATCGGTTACTTTGCTAGACTTGAGCAAGTTTCCCCCTTTTCCCCTCCCCAAAATCCAAACAGTCATTAGAATGAAGGGCTCTGTATATTCTCATCTCCCTCATTATTAGAAGATATTCAATATGAGAGGGGAAAAAATAATGGTAGAGTTGCAACTTGTTCAGAGTTATATCCTATAACCCTGAACTACAGCTGGACAGGGGGACTCATCACACTAAGAGTTAATATTACAAGAGAATGAAATGAATCTCATGATATTTGGGGGTTTTCTTAAAGTCTTTTTCTCCAGGCATCATGTTGTTATGTGAGCATCTATTAAAGTATATACTAACACCCTTCAAGCACTGTGGATCCAAGTTTGAAAATACACAACATTCGCACTTCAGTTTTTAAGCCAATCTCAGTTTTTGCAGACTGGATTCACTTCTGAAGTTGCCAACACTATCTGAGGTTAACTAACTGTGATAGAAATATAAAACCAAGACACTCAGTCTGGGGTTTGTACTAATCTAGACATTCAGTATGGAGAAAGAAGGGTTCCCTCTCCCTTTATAATCTTTCAGATAACATGAGTTACTATGGGAAGGAGGGGATGAATTGATGCAATGGAGAAAGGGGGGGGAGGGGGGAAGACAGACATAATTCTCCATTATTTCTCCTGTGCATCTCCATTTCCCATTCCTTAGATAAATTTGTGAGGAAACACACATGGTTTCATGATGAAAAACTAGAAAACACCATGACTTGAAAGAAAACACTATACAGTGTACTCCAGTCATTTAAAGTGGAATGCTGTCTATTCCTTCATTTTATAGCTTCACTGATCATTACGGATGTGGTCTACAGAGATAGAAGATGCAGTGTGCATATTTATACAAATATACATTCATATATATATGTATATATATACACTTAGTATGCCATTCATTAGTCAGTTAACCAGTACAGAGAAGGTGATTCTTCCCTCCGCCACACAACTCTCTGGTCCAAGACAAGAAGAACTATCTCGTAGCTGTAATTACCCTAGAACATAAGCTAGAGCAGCCTGAGGTCTACTGAAGGACAAGTGGCTGCACCTCAGTCCAGAAGGCACAAATACATAATTTTCAAGAATAACATAATTAAGAAATTAGTCTTTGAATTTTTATATTCAAAAGTAAGGAACCAGGGTCCTTCCTCTTCTATAGCATCATGAAGAAGTGTTGTTTAGTTGATTAATCTGGTGCCTCAACTCCCTCAAAATGGGAATAAGCAGAAGGTAGAACGGGATCTGTAGCAGGAACTAAATAACAGCAGATACACTTTTGATATGCCATCAGAAAAACTCTGTTTAATACCATGTTAGCTGCTATTTTTAAAATTGGAAATGAGGTTAAGAATGGTTTGAAGTCATATCAGCCCTGACTACGGCTGTCACATTGAAACAGGATGCCATGGATTCGGTAAGAGACGTTACTAGACAGAAGTCATCTGTCTTCAAATACAGACTTTCCCACTTTAAGAAAACATACCCCCTGGAGGCCACTGGAAATGGAAGATGACAAGTTTTTATAACTGATGCTTAGAAACTACTCAGGTTAAAATAAATGCTACTTCCTTTCCTTTCCAAAAAAAAAAAAGGGAGAAAAAGTTTGGTTTGAAGTAGTTCTATCAAGGAAAGGGCATATGAAATCAAGTCTGCTGTAATTATTCAATCACTGGAACATATCCAAACAAGAGGAAAACAATTGGCACGATAAAACTGGCATTTGTAACTGTGATTCATGTCTATAATGGCAGGATAACCAGCAAAGGGACGCTTGTTAGTGAAGTGCGTCGCCAGCCCACGCCTCTTACCTGTCATTGTACACTGGTAGTGAGAAACCACTGTTGGGGTGAAGGCTAAAAAAGAAAAAATTAGGGAAAGCAAACTGAATAAAACAAATGTGGGTACAGATATTTTGTGTGTCAATATTTCTACATAGATACTGTGCGTGTACCATGAAAGCACAGGGTGTGTAAGTAAGCTGGCACGTTCTATTAGAAAAAAAAGAAGTCATAAAAAAAAAAAAATCACACACAAGGGTGGAAATTCACGTGAGGGGAACAGATTTATTGCCTATATAAGCCTAAAAGAGCAGACTGGTACATTTTCTACCTAATACAGATCTGACTCTGAGGTTTGGCAGTATTAATGTTAGGTATTTTTATCTCTTTTTGCAATTAAAAAGGAAATAGTTTTGCTACACTTAGGTGTGGTGCACATGTTAAACTAACAGTCTAACTCCTGGAAAGTAACAGCTAGACATCTCTCTCTCCCATGGCCTGCACTACTGTCTCTAAAGAGCTTTCTTCCCCTTACTGGTTTTTGCCATTGACAAATGGGAGGGATAGGTATGATTAAAACCAGAAACAAGAAATTCAGGCAGGAAAACCAAACCTTGTAATTTCCAAGCTTTTCGTTGTTCTTCTTTGGCAATTTGTTCCATGTCTTTGTCGTATATGTAATCTTGACACATAAAGCAGTATATACCCCCATACAAAAGGTCTATGGCTGCAAAACAGAAGGGAAGTTGGGGAGGAGGGAAAAAAAGATGTGAGTTTATAAACTAGAAGACATTTTAAAGCAGGTTTCCAAGTCAGGCACTTTCTTCTCAGTAGCTCACAAAGAGTAAAGTCTGTACGTTAGAATCTGAAGGATAAAGAAAAAAGATATATTAAAAAGCTGATTTTTTTCCCCAGTTACTGTATGAGTTATTCACTTGTTTCTGGTACAGCAAGAAAACTGCGCAAGACAACAAAACATTCGCTGCCTTCAAGTTGGTTGTAGCTCACAATATACCTCTAAAAGACATAAGTAACTAAAAGGCATAATTACAGTGACTGACTACAATATGTGCAGAACTAGTACTGGAAGACTTGATATGTAAGTTTGAGTTGCCTTTTTCTAAGACTTCACTAAGTCCTATTCAAAGCCATTAAAATAATTAGAAAGCACCTATTTAAAACCCAAATGAAGGCTCCAACAGAAGACAGCGCTGAAAATTCAAAGATACTTGTGCAGGGGAACGTTTTTCCTGAGTAGTTTATTCCATAGGTTACACGTCTCAAATTCTCTTGTTTCACACACCCTTTTAGAATGGACATAAGAACACTGACCAATGTTCAAAGTATTTTTCTTACACAACCCTAAAGAAACCAAAGCCAGGAAGTTAAATGGATCAGCTAACTGGGAAATATTTTATTTCAACATATACTGAGGAAGAATTAAGTGCAAATTACTCATAGGAAATTGCTGATTTTCAGTAATTATTTCTAGATCAGACAGATATGGAAAAAAGCCACAAAGTAAAATAAAACCAATTCAGTGGGCACTAACAAATTCTCAGTCAGCTACTAAAACACAATCTGCATCTAGCAGCCAACTGAGAAACACATCGCCATTCCCCCTCAAGAATATATCCCCATTTATTTCCAAATTCCTTTTATTTCCAGACAAACAGCATTATTAAAATAATCTCTCCACAGTGGAAACTTGTATTAAATAAAGGAAACCATTACCGCATCAGGTGGCCTGCAAGAAACAGCACTGAATTGCTCTGAAGTCATAAGCAAGCCAAACCACATGCCACGCAGCTGGAATTCTGCTGTCAGTCTCATCAGGCAAACAAAGGTGAAGTCTTTGTGTTCCCCCATTAGTGTATCAGTGCTTGTGGTAAGGTTTCTTTCTAACCATGTCTTGTCCATCCTTCATAGGCTCTACACCCCTCTCAGCTTCCTACTGCTCTCCTTCAGTCCTGTGTGCCTCCTCCTCTTCAAAATCACTTTCTCAATGATCATGTCAAGTCACTAGTTACTTCTATATGTAATAAAGAGAACAGATACTGCAAGCAGGTTTGCATGATGTCTGTTATCTTGCCTATGTGCTTCATTCTTTTGTTCTATCTGGACCATGATCAGTTTGTGGAAGAGGATAAGGAATACTGAGTGTTACCTGGTCTAATGTCCAAACACCGGAATTTTCACCCTTGTGCTCAGAGGACTTAATAAACTCCTTTAACAGAATATCACAAAAGGGGATAAGAACCTTGCCTGCAGTGAAGATAAGCACCAGAACACTATGCACTTGAGCGTGTGGGGGTATATCAGAAGCTACACAGTATTATATAGTTATCTACTCCATTATCTACTGCACTACCAGTTATACACAGTTTTCAAAGAATAATTGTTGGAAATCCAAAGTATTGGCCTCAAAAGACCAAAGTCAAATATTGTTCCCCATATATTTTTTAAAAGATCCCACAAACAGCCCCTCTGCCCTCCAAATAACAGGAAAGGACTGGCAGAATATTAAATATATAAGACTGAGCACTACCACTTCCAATTTACCATAAGAATGGGTAGGTGTACACTGTGCTCAGAGAACTCCTTCTCAGCTTTCTGGATTTACATGCATGGGTCATGAAGTATAGCCGTCAAGATCAAAACCAACAAGAGACCACCCTACACAAGCCACTTGTGCAGAGCAGAATGAATTTCTGCTATAAAGAACCAGAAAGATTAACACAAACACTGGTGGAGTAAAAGCTGTAATTGTCCAGAGCCTGATTAAGGACTCTTGAGAAAATTTCCTCTCTCCAGCATACTTACGTGAACAATAGAGTTGTATATATGCCAATGCTTTCAATGGCATTAAAAAGACTGCAATAGGTTTTGGACAAATTACCTCAAGCACCAGTGACAAGGCGGCTGCACAGCCCTGGTTACAGCACAAAGAAAGGGCAGGAGTTTCTCATGAGAGCCAAAACAGGGCTGCTCAGTTTCAGGATCCTAGTAAAGTGTGTAAGTTTATTGTTTCAAATCAGTATAAATCGAGGTTTCCCCTTGAAATAGACTTTAACCTTCTTATTCTGGTCATCTTGAGGTGAAAAAGGATGTTTCCTTTAGGGCAAAGTGGAAAATATCTACTGCCAAGTCACTGTGGTGAGCACACAAGGCAGTCTCTGCAGGGCCTGGTGGGTGCCGGGCACAGGGTCCCCAGTGGAGGAACCACAGACATACAGAAACTCTTCCAATGCAAGCGACTTGTTATAGGTAGCAGAAGCTACACCACACCAAAAGGACAAAGTCCATATAAACCAACAAATTTCACCTCTTTGTTATCAACAGGTTAAAATGTCTTGGTTTTTTAAAACTAAACTGCTGTGAAGCTCTACCCCAAACGGACCCACCTGACCAGGAAATTCAGTAAAAACCACTATGACAGTAAAGGATGAGAATGCACATTGAACAAATATCATCTGCATTGGTATTTGGGATCACAAACCTAGCAGGAACGGGCCTCAAACTCCTAAGAAGTTTGCTTCTACACTTTCTATGCTGACGACAGCCTATCCTCATTTTCAAGTCAGATCTCCTCATACCTCTTCATATACAGAATTCTAAGCAGCTGCAACACAAGAGAGAAAGTCAAAAGATATCTCAATATTCATTCAAAAATAAAGCCATCAGCCTGGAGAAACAATGAGGCATCACAGAAGCTGACGTGGGCATAATGAGAGCAACGTTATCTACTGGTGCAAGTGACAGTAAGTTTGGAAAGACACAGCTGAGAGGTGAAAGTTTAAATTTAGGCAGCAAAAGGTCTTCAAACTCTATCTGGGAGCCAAGGAAAGTGTTTTATTTTAAGCCCAAGTGCTTTACTTTGCCAAATATAACCACTGACATCCTTGTGAAAATGTTAAGAGACCAAAGATGATGGGAATGTAACAACAACATGTAAGAAAGCAGGGAAGTGTGCCACATCCAGCACCTGCACATCTCATCCGGGTAAGAAACTTGCTGTGAGTTCAGAAAGACCCAGATGAACAGAACCAACGTTGCTCAGACAAAAATGGGAGACTTCACCGTACTATATGACAACCTTCCATCAGATATGACACATCTCTGAATCATGTTTTGATATCATCTTCTTTAGAACACTGGTTGCATTCAAGTAGAACGAAACCTACAACAACTTACAATTCAGGTCAGTTTTTACCTGTATTGAGGTTAATTCCATTGTGAGTTTCCATGACTCAATCTTGGCATGTTATCAACTTGAAAGCAACACACTCATATTCCATGCAAGTCGCCTACATTTAGTTCAACTTCAGTAATACATCTTTTAAGTAACCATCCTAAACTAATTCATGCTTCCCGATTTCTCACCTTAAACATTAAATATTAAACCAGTTTAGAGAATAGTCTTAAGTTCACAAGAAGTGATTTGCTAAACTTCAGCTCTTTGCTTGTTCCTGAACCTGATGTTCAAGTACCCGATTGCCTTCCTCCTGTTTTCCTGGCACCTGGAATGTGCGTCACAGCTCAGAATTCCTAAACTGGTAAGATACAAAGGTCTACGAGTAAGAAAATCTTACTAATCTCAGTAAGAAACAAAAAACACCCCCCAAAACAAGACAAAACAAAAAGCCCCAATCACACCAGCCTCATCTGATGCACCAGTCAACATGTATATTGGATTTTGCCAGGAACTAGTGAGCAGACACATTAAAGGCTATTTATTCTCTTCCCTTATCCTCTCAGTCTCTATCAAAGTGATAAGAGTCTTATCAGCTCTTCTAGTCAGAGATTTTTAGAAAAGGAAAACTAAAAGGGGGATGGGACTAGAAAAAAGGGGGAGAAAAGAAAGAAAAAGGGAAGAAAAAGAAAGGCTGATCCCCCCAATCACTAAATGGTGCCCAGCCTAGCTTGGAACCATTGAGAACTGCACATACTTCATTTCAGAGGGGAAAAAAGGAAAACTAAAACAAACCCAAACACAAGCCAAACTTCCTTTTGTTGCCAAGAATGAAGCATCAAATACCCACCCTTCTAATACATATTAAAACAATGGCTGCAGTTCAGCGGTATCTAAGAGAAAGGGTATTTTCTTCTCCTAATACTTGAGATAAAACCATGCTACTCTAAGTACTTCTTTTTCTATTTTTAAACCAGCAGGCAACAGATAAGAAGTGTTTTTGTGGGTTGTTCTCTAAAGTCTCCAAGATCTCTATTGGCTCCATCCAGACAAGGAATTTAAGAGAACCATAGTTTGTCCATACATTTTATTCTAACTTACTATGACCAGAGTATTTACTCCAGCTCCTTGACCTCATTCAGAAATATATGTATCATATACACACACACACACGCACTACTTACTATGTGTGCATGCACCCAGTACACTCCAGGAGCCTGCAGGATTCCTTTACTGAGGTTGCCCTGTGCTTCCTATTATAAAGTGTGTTTTGCCTTTTGTCAATCTTCTCCCTGCCCTTCTCTGACCCTACAACCTTCAAGAGCTTCCCTGTTTGCAGTAAACCTTTGAAAATAGTGAAATCCTCCTGCCTAAAGCACCTTCTCTTGATAGCACAAAATACTATTCAGGTTTAAAGGAGCAAAACTGTTAAATACTCCCCATTTAATCCTGCTGGGATTTTGTTTTAGTTTGTTTGGTTTCTGGTTTGGGATTTTTTCCCCCCAGAAATTTGGGGGCAGGATCCCCAAATCATAGACACGAAGTTTTGTGCTGCTCCATATATTATGATGCAAACTGCTTATACCCATCTGCATATTCTCATCTGATAAACAATGGAGACTTACCTCAAAACACTATTTTCAATAAAAGCAGTAGTAAGATCCAGGAGTCATTTCTGATACCGAGAGGAGCTTTCGAGAGATGGCTTGCAGGAGCTCAAACTACCTGCACATAACAGAGCAGCTCTAGCAGAAGACAGTGGCAATGAACAAATGCCTGCTTCCCTTCTTATGAGCCCAGTCTGGCTCCAAGTTTGAGCTAAGCTATAGCAATGTCATGCTGGAATGCACATCATGTAACAAATGAGAATTTGCCTGCAATACTTCACACAACACATCCTAGAACAGCAGGTATTTTTAATGGCTATGAGGAATGGCTGACCTGTATATCCTAAATGCTTTCCTCCTCTGCTTTCAATCAATGATACTTTGGTTGCCACCACAAGGATGTTATTATTGTGAAGTACAAAGAGTTTGTATTTTCTACTATCAAATTTCATCTAATTTTTATTATTGTAGTCAATGAAGTTATTTAATTCTTATCATAGGACTATTTACTCCTCCTCAGTATAAGCAACACCTCTGAACCCTGGGTCTGTCATGAATTTCACTCACAGACATAATTCCTTCTCTTCAATTATTAGAAAGTATTTTGACACAGATCTTCTTTGAGCAGTCCTAGGATGTACCCACGGGTGTTTACAACTGATACCATTTTCATGTATTTGGAGGGGATGAGGGATACCTACACAAGTAAGAGAACAGCCCTGAAACAGAACTAGGAAGGAAAAGGCTAGTTTGGATAGTCCCTATCTTCAAAGTCCTGGAAAATCCAGTCTTATCTACCTCTTTCTAAAGGACATCACACCTCTATAAAGATTTTTCATTGCATTAAGGATTCCCAACCCAGTGGAAATATCAGCCTCTCGTGGTGATAGACTATCAGACACTGTGCAACGCAGAGATTATAAAAAGCAGCTCATATAGCTGGATCTTCACCTACCTGTCACCCACATCAAGGAATATACTAAAAGAAGTACAGTATTATTAATAGACTCTGAATAGGCAAGCAGATGTAAGAGCACAGGTATTTCTATAAGCTCAGAGTGTGTCTGTTGCTCAAGGGAACAGAGAGAACAAGAAATGTCTTTTAAAACCACACTGGACTCTGATCCTGAAGCCTCTTGAAACATTGAGCCAGTTAGCTGCAAAACCATCACTTCCAGTGCTCAGACAGCTGTTAGAGCTGAAATCAATGATATTTCTTTGAGCTGTGATTAAGTGTGCAGTTCCTGCTGGTCTCCATGGAGACTGATGTTGGCTCAGCAAAAAGTCACCAAGTGTTTTAAAATAATCCCTGTCCGTTTTGAAATCTCAAAGCACTTCACTTGGTTTTGCCTATCAGATGTTATTTCCCCCCAATGAAAACTGCAGCAGTAAAAGCAACCCAAAGCATTAGGCAAAACCACCAAGATATTTTTACAGCTCGTTTCACATTCAGCTCGAAATTGAACACCAAAACATACATTGAAAAGCCAGAGAAAAGGAATCTCCAAAACTAGAAGTCAATCAGGCAGTTGTACAATCTTCATATTATGTGTATTTGTGCACTGAAGACTCTATATTTAGCTGCAAAAGAATCCTTTTGGGGATGATACAAGACTTCATTCTGTGCTTCAGCTGGTATAATTAACTTTTGCCCTTTTTATCTAAAGGCTATTCCTTTTGGGAAGTACCTTATCTGACATGTTCTTAATTGTCTAGTATCATGACAGTAACTACAACAGTCTTTAAGCAAGAGAGCATCTTCAAAGAACCTCCCTCCTCCATCCAGGGTGTTTTTTTCCTTTAAGGAAACAGCAGATATTTCACTACAACAGACAGCTTGCACAAAAATGAACTTCAAGAATTGAGGCTTCCTAAATAACAGCAACTCACAACATGTGCAATTGTAAAGCTCTTTTAAAAGGTTCTCCATCAATATGGCAAGTTTAATGGTAAAAATATGACAGTATCCACAGATAAACAGGCAAATACTGTCTATGGTCTCAATTTTTACACCTTAAATGTGGTCATAAACTTCGAGTGGAAAAAAAAGGGGGCTTAATACACCTTTAAATACACTTTACTGGGAATCCTTAGACAGATTTTACCTAGAACAATTTCTACTTCTGCATTAGAAAAGATTCCCAAATAATTTCACTTAATGAATTGATTTCAAAAGCTCTTTTGAGATTACAACCTGTAAAAGCCAATAAAAAAAATGGTCACACAGGGTTGATTTGGGGTTTTTACTGTTCAAAGAATGGCTGAGGTTGGCAGAGGTATATGGAGTTCACCTTGTCCAAGCCTCCTGCTCAAGCACTTGGAGTGGGTTGCCCAGGACCACATCCAGAGAGCTTCTGAATGTGTTTTTGAATTAAACTGTTTCCTTATTACTTTATTAACACCACTAGAAACAAGACAGAAAAAAAAACCCTCACAACCCCCCTTCCCTCCTCCCCAAAAAACCAAGATAAAACATAAAACAAACCCACCCACAAAAATAAGCACAAAAACATCCTTTAAAAGTTTAAATAATTTTGATTGTTATTTCTTTATGACGGGAATGATGGTTTTTACCTTAGCAAGAACAAGAAAGTGAACATGACCTCCTGAAGTAGTTCTCCAAAATAAACACTCTACTTCGAGGCACTAAACCCACCACTTTTCACACTTGGGGGGGGGGAGGGGGGAAAAAAAAAAAAAATCACACTAATTTTATTCTTTTTCCCTATATGACATTAATTCATAAATACTAAATAATAATAACTCACAGTTTAAGTTGTGAATAAAAACTTCCTTGTGATGCAGTGAAAGCTTTAGCACCGAGTTTAAAATAATACAAGTGAACTAATGCAAAACACAAACAAAATTCATCTTCCTGTCTACAAGAAAATATGGAATCACAGAATGGTTTGGGTTGGAAAGGACCTTCAGATCATCCAGTTCCAACCCCCTGCCGTATCACCTCACTCGCATGGAGGTGACATGGGCAGTACAGCGAGTTAAAAGCACCATAAGGATGACAGCTTACCTAAATTGTGTCGCTTTGTCTTTGCGTGCTCGTGAATATGTTTCTTTGTAAAACAGCCAAAGAAGACACAGTAGAGGCAAGAGTGGAGTCTGTTCAGGTGGGCACCACACATATGACAAATGCACGACTTTGCCTGAAATAGCAAAACAGAGACAGAGTATGAGTGACAGAAACAGACCTCCAAGTCCAGCTGAACAGAGGGATGCGGATCTAACTGCTCGCTTTCCCTTTGACGTGGTGCCTTTTGAATGCTGCAGAGCAGCAGGGAAACAGGTCCTGCTCCATGTGAGAAAGCCACCAATTAGACACATTAACAGAGAAAGCTCTTCCATTTGTCCAATATATTTATTTCCTTGCCTTGGTAGGGAGCAGGTCTCATCTAAGAGCAGACACAGTCAACCCATTTACAACTCCCAGCCTGTAATTTAATAGAACACTTCAAGCAGGGTAAGCAGACACTGCTGCTAATACACACAATCCTACCATTCCCTCACTGTACCTAGGCACTTCTGTTCCCTACCAACCACGTATCAGCAGAATGACCTGCAGCGTGTGCAAGCCAGGAGAAAGATGTGTGTGAAATGAACCTGCAACTTACTCCCTCCAAGATTAACCCGTATCAGTTCCTCCATCCAGCCACGCAAACAGCCACTGCTGGTGCAAAGCTTTGGGCATTATGGCTGTGTAGCAGGGGCTTAACATTACAGCAGCACAGATGATTATCAGGAGAGCAAGGTCTCAATGCCCTTGGTCTTGTTCAGTTCCTCAGAATCACCCCCCATCCACAGTCTCTACCTTGAAGCAATGGGCTTTGCTGCTGAACAGCCCCATCGCTGAGCTGGTTCCCCTTGCTAACCTGGAAGTTGAAGCTAGACTAAAACTAATCTTCTGTCAGGTTAGCAGGTTTGAGGAGATGAGTAGATTTGGACAAACTTCAGAGCTTAGGAAAAGCAGATGCCTGGCAAGGAGGTAAAAAGGTGAAGATGCAGGAGTTTTGGGTGGAGGGACCACAAGAATGCTGCACCAAGCTCCTTAAGCCCCTCCATGTAACTTGTACATTGAAGTGTCTGTTGGTGTACAGCATTTAATTTCTCTGCTGGGAGATTCTGCCACATTCAGTCATGAGATTTCTCTGTACCAGTCCATAAACAGTGGTGCAACACCAAATCCACACCAGAGTTACAGAAGTCACTTTTGCCACTCTCAGCCTGGCTTTGAGCTAAGCATGGAAAGTGACATGCTGAGTATTCCCCAGAGCAACCCCAAATGGGGAGGTATGTGATGAAAGCTACCAGCATTCACTGGAAATGAGTAAGTGTGTAAACCTGACATGATGGTTTGCATTCCTATGGTAACAATACATTTTAACAAGTAGGACTGGAAAAAGAAAGCAGCAATTAGAAGGTTAAATAGACTTTTTGACTCTCAGTCACAGTTGAAGCACCCTAAGCCAACGCCAACCAAAAAATCTTCTGTTAGCATTAAACTCAGACACTTTAATGAATCTTTAGAAAAATTACTAGTGTAGTAAGAGACTTGGGAGTTTGAGGGATAAGTCTCCTGCCCAACACCACCAATTTGGGCTCGATACCATCTGATTGGAAGATACAGACAGGAGAAATTCCTCACAGTAAGCTAAGAGTAACCGAACTTCTGTAACAGCTCAGAGCTACAGAGATCACTTACAGAGTGATCTCACAGACTCATCTGAAAACACCATTCCTTTGCTTGTCAATATAGAAGCACCTTTTCTCTTCGTATGACAATAAGAACTGAATTACTAAAATACTAAGCTATCACCTAATCCAGGCAGTGCAGCTCCTCAAAACTAACCCCCAAAGTTCTTCTATTTACCCAGTCTACCATAACTTAAAAGTGGAGCTGAATAAATGATGCACGAGCCTGTTCCCTAGTCTGGCATTTTGCTTTCAGAACACTTATGGCAGTTAAAATAATCAAAGCAGCTTTGCAATATGCTGCACTGTGCCATTTATTTTCAAGCTTCTACAAATTAAGCCTCAAATCCTGTATCTCACATGTTGTGTGTGTGTATGTGTGTGTTCAAAGTTCTCCCCAAGTTCTGTTAGATGAAAATAGACGGGTTGAATCAAATTCCACACACCTACAGAAGGAAATATTTTAAAGTAGGACCAAAAAAACATATTCCCCACCACCAGCACAATTTCCATCTTTAGAAAAACACTGCAGAACTGTCAAACTGGTGCCTAACGGTCGCTCTTTGGCTGCAAAAGCTAAATAGGATCAGCCTATCTGTTAAGATTGCTGCTATGACAACTCCTCGAGCAAGCAACTATTTTACTTAGCCAGCTAAAAATACACTTTTTAGCATTAAATGTATTGTAAACAGATAACAAGTATGTACAAAAACCCCAATCATTTTAGGCTAAAAGGCAGAAAATTCGTACCTAGAAGAGGTTTTATTTCAATGAAGATTAAGAGAAATTGAAGGATGTAAAAAGAAAACTTAGTGGCAAGTTAAGAGAGGAGTTCGACCACTTCTTTAAAGGAAGCTATTTTGTTCATATCCTCTATTTGTTCTGTAGAGCTCAAGATGGTTTTTCTAAAATTGTAAGAAAACAAGGTTAAAAGACAACAGAGTGAGGGAAGAAATCAATATCCAAACCCATAGTGGCTGTTCCTAACTGGATTAGCTGTCTCCTTTTCATCTGCCTGTGCTTTTAAACAATTTGCTAAGTTAAAACAAAACTGCCACCCTCCCACCCCACCCCAAATAATCAAATCACTTTGTTTCATAATACTCCCACCCCTGCTCCCATCTCTTGAGGCTACAGTCCAAGACGAAACAGAATACTGCAAATGAGTAATCAAAAAATCAGTCTGATCCAGAAAGGCACAAGCTTGCTCTAAAACACAACTCCAGGTTTGGAAAAAGCAAGTTAGGGTCTTCCTTATGGCCTAGATGCTTTAGGGAAGTCCAACAGCATTTTGGCTGCAGAATCAACCTGTCACTTCTCCTTTTCTCTGGTATGCCCGAGATACAAGAACACCCCTTCCTTATCCTAAGGTAGACTATTCCCCTTCTTCCATACCCTTTCCAATTATCATGCTACTCCCTGCTTGCTCCTCCTTATTCTTCCGACCCTCAAGTACTCCACTCTCCATCTTTAACCTTATCCTCTCTCCCCACACTCAGCCCCTCACCTTATATCCCCAGCCAGTCCTTCAGTCTATATGGAACCTCTGCTCTCCCCTTTAATTTTGCCTTGATACTCTAACAGATTGCACACAGAAACCAGAAGAGGTTACAAGTGTTCTCTTTGTGGAATATTATTTCTATCAATGATAGAAAACTGGAAAGAATGGTCCTGCACAGTACAAACAGTAACTGACACTTCTGACTGTGCTGCAGGAGTGAGGAGTCCAGCCAATACCTAAATGAGGTCTACAAGAAGCCTGGAGAGGGACTTTTGACAACTGCATGTAGTGACAGGACAAGAGGGAATGGCTTTAACCTGCCAGAGGGGAGATTGAGATGAGCTCTTAGGCAGAAGCTCTTCCCTGTGAGGGTGCTGAGGTGCTGGCACAGGGTGCCCAAAGAAGCTGTGGCTGCCCTATCCCTGGCAGTGTTCAAGGCCAGGCTAGCCCTGCACTAAGCATTGAGATAAACATATGCATCCTTTCAAGTCCCATCCCCCTTTCCTGATGATGCTTCCACACACTGGTGAGAGAGGCAAGTAGGAGAAAGCAACAAATGAGGGTCCGGTTGGCTGGTGCCTCAGGAACCTGTGACAGCTCCAGCAATAGAACTCTGCTTTCTTGAACTCTTAATCCCTTACAGACACATGAACAATGAAGAGGCCAATTGAAGTTTGGAGCATTCATTAGTTTAACATCAGAATAGGGGACAACTAACAAACAAAACCCCGAAAGAGAAAAATCAAGAGATGTTCAACTGAAGCTTTTTAGATAAGACGTGCAAATGCCTTCACTGGGCCACAGATCAAGACATTTAAGAAGAATTTAAACAGTTCCTCACATATTCAGAGTTCCTGGTCTTAATATGCACATTTTAGGCACAGTCAGTCCTCCCAGTTTTTGCCTCTGCTATTCACTTTGCCATGTCCACACCGCAGCCTAGGCACAGACTTGTTTTTATTCTTAGCCATCCATGCTGCAACCAATTCTTGTCCAAGTGTAACATAGACACAGCAGCTCACACTGAGTGACAAACAGCATGCTTCCCTTCACCTATTGTTCAAAGGAAAACAGGATAGATAATCACAAAAGGTCATATAACTGACCACTGTTGAAGATGGAGAGCCTATGGCTAATCCAACAGCAGCATTTCTTCTGCCTTGTGGGAGGAGAAAGCCAATATTAAACCACAGCTGACAAGATTTATTACTCTCGAGTACTCTTTGCACAAAAAGAGTAACATATTTAGGTCAAATCTGCCTTATGACATTTCTATCCCTTCTTAGTCTCCATTTACTTCAAGATTCACTGGTGCTACAGACCCACCATCCATTAGCAGAGCAGTTGGGATAGTTCATATATTTAAATAGTTGAAACTTCAGAGCCCTGTTCTTAGGTATCAAGAAACAAAAAGAGGGAACTGATTGCACAGTTCCCAGTGGTATGGCATATATATCACTCCTCCACATGCTGATAGGATGATTCAGAGTTGCTCTGACTCAGTGCACATTTCTGACACATCAGCTTTAAAGAAATTAAAAGATCAACTTTAGTATTTTTTACTTACTTCCTGCAACCATGTTTTAATTATGATCTTGTCTGATTAGAAATGACAATTATAACTTAAAAAGAATATGTGATCCATATGGGAAATTGTGGTTCCAGCCCCACTATCAGTAAAGGTTTTATTAGGAGTAGGAAAACTGCACCAGTTACAGTATTGGGTGGTTTGGGAAGTGTTCAGAAAGTCACCTAAAAATTAAAAAGCCAAGTACAGGTAACTTCTTAAACTGGGTTATTCTAAATAAATACCTAAATTCTGATAAATACCTAAAGTGAGTGTGCAGGAAATACGGGGAGGGATTTTTTCAGGTGGAGGTAGGGACAGGACAAGGGGCAATGGCTTTAAAGTGACACAGGGTGGATTCAGATTAGACATTAGGCAGAAGCTCT